CTGCAAACTCATGTCGAAAGCTGGGTACAACTTCACCTCCTCTGCAAATTTAGGAAAGAACGATTTGAACACCGTCAAAGACAACAAACGTGATTTCACTAAAACTCAGAAGAAGTTGGAGGAGCATGGTTACGGGGTTAACAATAATAAAGCTGGACTTGGCTTCACACCAAATGCACCGATGAAGATCTCCAGCAAGGCAAAAAATGCTAGCGCTCAACACATCAGCGTGAGCATTATACAAGATAAAGAGGAGCCTCAACTTGCCCCCCAGACGTCAGTATTCGATAGAATGAATCGTTCAAGGCCTAGAGTTTCGGCACATAAACTCATTGGCGGTCAAAACAGAACTTCCGTCTTCAAAAGGCTTAACACGTCAGCATCTCGAAGCTCTGTTTTCAAAAGGTTGTCGAAACCTAAGAAGCAAAGTAATACGACTAGCTTTCCTCCACGACAATCAGTTATGGAAAGACTTGAAGAAGCCAAAGAGCCTTCCAAAAAGAGAAAGACGACACCAGAAGTAGAAAAGATCGATCGTCTGGCAGAAAAGGATGACGTTTGAAGTTCCATTCCTTCAAGAATGAAGCGCCAAGCAATTTTGGAGGTTAACATAGTTGGATCACTGAAAGTGAAAAGGCACACCATCATCTACACTGGACAATCTTCATGCCAACAAGCTCGAGAGGTCAACACCGAAGAAGAGGCCCAAAACGTCTTCCACATCACAATCCAAGAAGGTGAAGAAGATGAAATCCTCGAGGAAGATGTCATTGCAGCGCCGTCACAACTCGAAGATGGGGGGCAAGCCACAGTTGAAGATCTCAAATAACTCAACTTAGGCACAAGTGAGGAACCAAAACCTATCTTCGTGAGTGCATTACTAAGTGCAGACGAGATAGAAAAGTATTACCAGCTGCTATTAAAGTACAAGGACGTCTTTGCTTGGACCTACAAGGAAATGCCCGGCCTCGACCCTATCATTGCTGTGCATCATCTTGCAGTCAAGCCTGGAACGCGACCAATAAAGCAAACTCAAAGACGCTATCGATCCGAACTCATCCCACAAATCGAGGTCGAGATTGACAAGTTGATCGAAGCAGGCTTCATTCGAGAGGTGCAATACCCCAAGTGGATCTCCAACATCATCATAGTCCTTAAGAAATCTGGACAAATACGTGTTTGCGTAGACTTCCGAGACCTCAATGATGCTTGCCCAAAGGATGACTTCCCCTTGCCAATAATTGAAATCATGGTGGACGCGACCACTGGCCATGAGGCATTATTATTCATGGACGGCTATTCTGGATACAATCAAATTCGTATGGCTCTTGAAGATGAGGAACTAACAGCTTTTCGCACTCCAAAAGGTATCTACTGCTACAAGGTGATGCCCTTTGGTCTGAAGAATGCTGGAGCTACATATCAACGCGCAATGCAGAAGATTTTCAATGACATGCTACACAAGAACGTAGAATGCTATGTAGACGATGTGGTGGTCAAGACAAAGAAAAGATCAGATCACTTAAAGGATTTGTGAGTAGTGTTCGAAAGGTTGCGAAAATACAACCTCAAGATGAACCCGTTAAAGTGTGCATTTGGCGTCACATCTAGAATGTTCCTTGGCTTCATTGTCAAGCATCGTGGCATTGAAGTGGACCAATCAAAGATCAAGGCCATTCAAAGCATGCCCTGGCCAAGAAACCTGCACGAGTTGAAAAGTCTACAAGGATGGCTAGCCTTCATCAGACGCTTCATCTCCAACCTTGCAGGGCGTTGTCAACCTTTCAGTCGACTCATGAAGAAAAATGTTCCGTTCGTATGGGACAAAGCATGCAACAATGCTTTTGAAAGCATAAAGAAGTATTTATCAAGTCCACCTGTCTTAGGGGCACCTGTAACAGGGAAACTGCTCATATTGTACATCGCTGCTCAGGAAAGTTCAGTTGGAGCACTCTTGGCATAGGAAAATGAATCCCAGAAAGAATAAGCGCTCTACTACCTCAGTCGAACGCTCACCGGCGCTGAGTTAAACTACTCCCCAATAGAAAAAATATGCCTTGCCTTGATGTTTGCCATCCAGAAGCTTAGACATTACATGCATGCTTACACCATCCACTTGGTTGCTAAAGCTGACTTGGTCAAATACGTCATGTCCAAGCCAGTTTTAACAGGGCGACTAGCTAAATGGGCATTGCTTCTCAAACAATACGAGATCATTTACGTCCCAAATAAAGCCGTTAAGGGACAAGCGCTAGCAGACTTCCTTGCCGACCATCCAATCCTAGCCGTTTGGAAAATCTCAGGCAACTTGCCTGACGATGAGGTGTTCTACATCGACATATTCCCGACATGGACGATGTTCTTCGACGGATTTGTATGAGCAGATGAAGCGGGGGCAAAAGTAGTATTCATGTCGCCACAACAACGTCGCTTAGTACCAAACACTGATCATCGGGCTCCAAATGGCGATCAACTTGGAAATCACAGCCCTTGAGATATATGGCGACTCCAAGCTCATAATCAATCAACTCCTGACTGAATATGAGGTGAGGAAAGATGATCTCGTCCCATACTTTCGGCTGGCAACATAATTGCTATAAAGGTTTGAGGCCGTAACATTAGAACACGTGCCAAGAAAAGAGAATCAAATGGCAGACGCTCTCGCCAACCTAGCCTCAAGCATGACATTAGGAGAAGACGAAGCTGCAAACGTGCCAGTCTGCCAAAGATGGGTAATCCCGCTTGTCACTGAAATGGTACTAAGTGATACAAACGTTATTTCAATACTTTCGGTCAACGTTGAAGAATGGAGACAGCCTCTGATTAACTACTTGGAGCATGAAATACTTCCAGATGATCCAAAACACCACTCTGAAGTATGTCGACGAGCACATTGCTACCTCTATTACAAAGGGACACTCTACCGGCGATCTTTTGAAGGAGTACTTTTGAGATGCCTAGGCTAGGAAGAAGCCAATCAAGCCATGAAAGAAGCACACTCAGGAATATGTGGGGCGCATCAGTGCGGACCGAAGCTTCATTTCCAGCTCAAAAGAATGGGTTACTACTGGCCAAGCATGGTAAAAGACTGCCTAGAACATGCCAAAAGGTGCCAAGCCTGCCAATTTCACGCCAACTTCATACATCAACCGCCTGAACCATTACACCCCACAGCTGCTTCATGGCCATTCGATGCATGGGGATTGGACGTCGTAGGACCAATTACGCCAAAATCATCTGCAGGAGAAGGTTACATCTTGGCTGCAACAGATTACTTCTCCAAGTGGGCTGAAGCCATACCCCTGAAGGAAGTCAAGAAGGAAACTGTCGTCCATTTCATCAAGGAACATATCATCCACCGATATGGTGTGCCTCGCTACATTGTCACTGACAATGGAAAACAGTTCTCCAACCGACTCATAGACGAGCTCTGCGAGAAATACAAGTTCAAGCAGCACAAATCCTCCATGTATCATGCTCCAGCCAATGGTCTCGCAGAAGCATTCAACAAGACATTGTGCAACCTCCTGAAGAAGGTAATCGACAGAACAAAGAAAGACTGGTATGAAAGAATAGGCGAAGCATTTTGGGCATACAGGTTGACATATAGAACGCCTACCCAAGCTACACCTTATTCTCTCGTATATGGCGTGGAAGCTGTTCTACCGCTCGAAAGTCAAATCCTCTCGCTAAGGATGGCTATACAAGAAGGCTTGACTGACGAAGAGAATGCAAAGTTGTGCCTTCAAGAGCTGGAAGCGCTGGATGAGAAAAGACTCGAAGCCCATCAACACTTGGAGTGTTATCAAGCACGACTCTCCAAGGCCTTCAACAAGAAAGTTCTCCCTCGTTCTTTTCAAATGGGAGATCTCATCCTTTCATTGCGTAGGCCTATCATCACAACTCACAAGACAAAGAGCAAATTCACGTCAAAATGGGATGGACTATACGTAATACAAGAAGTCTACACCAATGGCGCCTACTTAATCATGGCGGAAGATGGCTTGAAAATCGGCCCTATCAATGGTAAATTCTTGAAGCGCTACTACCCCTAAAAGGCGACAACTCCTGCTCCTTGTTGGCACGAGCCTAAACTGCATGAACCAAAGCTCCTGGTCTGCACGAGCATAAAAGGCAACACTAATGCTCCTTGTCCGCACGAGCCTAAACTGCAGGACACAAAGCTCATCGCCGGCACGAGTCTAAACCGTATGGCACTATGCTCCTTGTTCACACGAGCTTAAAAGGTGACATAATAAAGCTTCTGGCCCACAAGAGCATAAATTGCGTACGGCACAAAAAAAAATGTATTTGAACTACGTTTTGACTTGATCTCTTCTTTGGAAGGGTATGTAGGTAGCTCGAACATTTAATTTCGAGTTTAGTCATATCAAAATAAAAAATAAATGTTTTATTAAAGAAGGTCAATTTTATTACAAATTTATTTTGTTAAAAAAATTGCAATTTTCTTTGTACAAAATTAAATCACAGTTTCTTTGAAAAAAAAAATGAGTACATATGTTATTATGAGTGTCTCGACTCAGCAGCAACAAAAGGCTCAAGCCAGCGAGGCCTAACTACAAATCAGGGCCCAGCTCTCAAGGCCAATCTCCCATCTCTTGCAGCATTGCTCAAAGAGCCCATCCGGAATGAAGCCCAAGGGCTGTCGAATCTGCCCTGAAACCCGGTTTCTAGAATCTCTGCGCCGTTCAACTTCTCCAAGCTGGATCCGACATCAAGGCTTTCAGCCTCCACCGCTAGAAGGGTTGCTGCAATCCCAAATGCTGCAGCAACTTCAGCCTCCACCTCCAGATCTAGCTGCTACGGAAAGCCCTCATTCTTCGGCGAGGTCATGCTTCTCCATCAAAGTTTGTCCGAGCCTCTTCACCGCCACTTCCTCTCCGGCGCCGTCAACCCTGCCCATGACTTGCTGTCGTTATCACCCCAGTTTAGGTTTAAGGGAAGTAGCTGAGTTAGCAGCTTAACCTTGCCCAAAGAAAATGGCAGACCCAGTCGACATTGTCTCAGTCAGCCAAACCATCCAAAAGCTTCAAGGAAAGGTCGCAGTCGTCACTGGTGAAGCCAGTGGCATCAGTGAAGCAACCACACGGAAATTTGCCTTGCATGTCGCACGTGCCATGGTTATCACCGATGTTCTGGATGGCAAAGGCCAAAACGTAGTTGCATCGATCGGTCCTGACCACTCCATTTACATCCATTGCGACGTGATCGATGAAGACCAGGTCAAAATCTTGGTAGAATCCACAATCAAGATTTACGGCTGCCTCGATATGATGTTTAGCAACACCGGTATTGGCAGCGCGTCAAAGCAGACCGTGATGGACCTCAACCTTTTCCCTGTCTGCAACTCCCTCACTCACTCTTTCTGCTCTCACTTGCAGAGAGACAATGGCAGCGACGGCCGCCGTGCCCACTCTTCTCCTCACGAGTTTCTTTTTCGCTGCTCTCCACGTCTCTTCGAATCCAGATGCCAAACCTCTTCTGTCATTCAAAGCGACGTCGGACGCATCCAACCAGCTCACCACCTGGAACTCCACCTTCGTTGACCAGTGCGCCAGAACTGTCATCAAGGGCACCGACAACCTTCTCCTCAGCCTCAAGCTTCTAGGCTTCACCTTGCAGAGCACCAATATATAAATATATATATATATATTTAAATGGAGTCATACCCACTACATTATGCTGCACACCTTCAGAATCATGCTTCTGTCGGCCACAATGTGGAAGGTGGCTCCCATTTTCAGCAATAAAGAATTGTGGCCCCTTTAGTCCGAACAGCAGCGGCATGGAGGATGGTTCCTTTTGAAACTTTGGCAATAAAGAATTGAAGGATCCCAAACCCATTACAGAGAAAGCAAAATTCCCCACTAATTATGTCGGGGCACTCAACCCCAAATAATTCAGACGCTGGAAGAAAGGTGTCAAACACTATCATATCAACCGTTGAATTAATGAGGGTCAAGCTTCTGCTGTGCTGTTGCATCAGATTCATGCTCATCGTGCTCGCCAGTCGAGTTTCGGATTTTCTGGAATGGACGAGTCACATTACAGCTCTGGAACGGTCATCAGATTCATGGGCAGGATATTCTATTATGATGAACACATGGAAGAGTTATGATCTTCTGAAGCAGTCTATTTCTCACTATTCTCTCATCTTCTCTGCTTATCGCCCAATGCCGCACCTCCGCTGCAACTCTTCCACTTCAAACTCATCACTCTGAAGACGTTGCGGGCGTGGTAGACTTTGACGAAATTGCAAAAAATAAAATAAAATAAAAAAAATGAAGGTGTCGACGACTTGGCAGTGGTAACTAGTGATCCCCTTCCTCAGTAACGGCAGTGCAATGGCTATGCTCAGTGGTTGTGCTAAGTGGCTGTGCTCAGTGACGGTAGTGGTGGAGCTTCTTCATCTGTACCTCCGCCATGGTTGCCGCCTTTGAATAAGATTGACAAAACCAAAGTTTATCAATACATACCCAAAGACCTCTTCCGTCTCTTGCCTCACAGCTGCCAACAACTTCAAAGACCGCCATCAAACGACTAGCCGGTCATGAAGCCTCAACTGTAACTCTCCGTCCGTGGCAAACAGCAATAGCGAAGAACTTCAATAACTGCCGTCAAATGACTAGCCGGTCAAGAAGCCTCGGCTGCAGCTTTCCGTCCGTCTTCGTCCTTCCCTGCAAATTCCCAGCCCATCATCAAAATTTATACAAAAAAAATATATATAATAAAAAAATGGGATAGTGGAGCAAAGTGGTGCTGGCACCACGTGAAAAAAAAGAAAAAGAAAATGAAGATAATGATGGAAGCTTGATGGATGCACGACACAGGAGGAAGAAAGAAAAAAGAAGTGGGGGGTGCATCCAGCACCGAAAGTTAAAGAAAATAATATATATGTTTTTGGTGGTGCATCAGCACCAAAAGATAGCGGAGATTATAATTATATATGTATATATGTCTTGGGTGCATACAACATCGAAAAAAAAAGAAAAAAGAAAAAAAAGAGGGAAGTGGTGGTGCATCTGGCACCATAAAAAATGGTGGAGCATTTGGCACCATGAGAAATATATGAAAATATACATATATATATTATATATATATATATATATATATTATATTATATAATGCATTAAGAGAAATAAAGTCCATTTTATTTATTTTTTCTGGAAATTTTACATAAATTTGCATTATACATACCTAAAAAAAAAAAAGTCAAATCAAATTTACAGGAGGGGATCTTCAAGGATGATCCGGTGGCGCCTTATCACTCGGTGGAACTTCAAGAAGAAGAGGAGCCGGAGGTTGATCATTTGGAGCTTCATTACGCGGTACAGCCCCAGAAGACGAAGGCAACTATTTTTGGAATAAACCCACAAACCTCTGATGATCAAGTAAAATCTGACCATCAGATTCCTGCATCTGGTCAATCTTCCTCTTCATGTTTGTAGCATAGTTATGTGCGAGCATGTGCAACTGTTTATTCTCATGCTTAAGCCCTCTAATCTTCTGTTTGAGACTCATCACTTCAGCCGCCAATGATTCAACTTGACGGGTTCGAGCAAATAGACGTTAGGCCATATTAGACACAGAACCTGCACACTGCACACTGAGAGCCAGAGAATCCTTAACAGCCAACTCATTAGACCGTTTGGAAAGTAGTCTGTTATCTTTGGGAGTGACAAGGTTCCTGGCCACCACCGCAGCAGTCATATCATTCTTCATCACCGAATCCTCAACGGTAAGAGGACCAGTAGGGAATACGAAGAATGGGCGCCATATGTTGTCAGGAGAAGGCATGAATGCCTCTTCACCAAGGTTCAAGTCAAAACGACGGTCGGAGGGTTCAGACATTTTCAAAGGTGTTGAAGAAAGAAGAGGTTGGACAAATCAAGATCTTAGAAGTGCAAGAAGGGAGTTTCCATAAGCGAAAATTCAAGTGTGCTTTGAAACGAACTGCGTGCCTCTATAAAAATCAGCATTCGAAGGGATTTCAGAGATCGAAGAGGCGAGCTCAGAATTCGAAGAGGCCAATTCAAAAATCGAAGAAGTGCTAGCTTTCACAAAAGCTAGGCTTGCTCAGAAACCACGGGCCAATCTTCCTTTACAGACTTGTCTGCACTTGTCACATGCAACCTTTGCACTCGACGGAGCTCAGAAATCGAAGAGACCAATTAAAACATCGAAGAGGCAAGCTCAGAAATCGGAGAGGCATCTTGCTTTTCCAGACGCGTCAGCACCCATCACACGCAAACTCAGCTTTGCTGAAATCACAGGCAATTTGTCCAAGCGCCTATCCCAAATATCAAAGAGGCGCCAGTCTTTTTCAGCCTCGTCAACACCTGTCACATGCACACTCAGCTTGGCGGAAATTACGGACAATTTGTCGAAGATTTCTGATGAAGAAGAAAGCACGTAAAGCCATACTGATCAATCACTCAATGGTTGTCGACACGAGTGAAGAATTGTACCTCTACAGGTATTAAAGAACTTCCTATAACTGTCCACCTTCACCCTCTATAGCAAGGCAGACATACAGAACCTTTCTTCATCTCCGAGAATGCCTTCCCAACGAAGCCTCTCGAGTCACTCAGTGTTCCTTATTCCTTGGGGTACCTCTGCAAACAAATGACACCAAAGCAAAAATATCTCATATCACTAGTGTAGAAAGCAAGAGTATCTCATATCATGCTTTCTCCCTGTCATTTCTTTTGTCCTTATTCTTTCCTGCAAAGACAAGGATAAAGAAAGCAATATGCCGGAACCTCCACTCAAACTCGGGTAAGGAATCGACTACCTGGAACCTTTACCTGGTTGCTTACCTGACATTGCTCTCGAGTACTCGTCTTCAGCTGCTGATGTACTTCCGAAGAAAATGCCACATTTTCCTGGAGAACAGATAAGGTAAGTGAAAATGATACCTTGCAGCATGTGAAGACAACGTGCAGAAGAAACAAGCAGAGAAGAATGCAGCTTGCACAGTTAACTCAGCAGAAGGAGTCTGAGTTGAGGAACTCAAGAAGTTACCACATCGTCCTGGAGAACAAATAAGGAAATGCGGCATGCATAATCAACTCAGCAGAAGGAGTCCGAGTTGAAGAATTAGAGAGAAAAAGGGGTCTGAGTTGAATCCAAGAGCTCGAGAAGCTTCAACAACATATTGATGGCACCATCGCCAAAAAACAAAGCCTCGCTGTGCAACACTGTCAAATCGCCACCACTTCTTCAATTCAAAAATCAAAGAAGTGCTAGCTTTCTCAAAAGCTAGGCTTGCTTAGAAACCACGGGCCAATCTTCATTTACAGACTTGTCTGCACTTGTCACATGCAACCTTTGCACTCGACGGAGCTCAGAAATCGAAGAGACCAATTAAAACATCGAAGAGGCAAGCTCAGAAATCGAAGAGGCATCTTGCTTTTCCAGACGCGTCAGCACCCGTCACACGCAAACTCAGCTTTGCTGAAATCACAGGCAATTTGTCGAAGCGCCGATCCCAAATATCGAAGAGGTGCCAGTCTTTTTTAGTCTCGTCAACACCTGTCACATGCACACTCAGTTTGGCGGAAATTACGGACAATTTGTCGAAGATTTCTGATGAAGAAGAAAGCACGTAAAGCCATACTGATCAATCACTCAATGGTTGCCGACACGAGTGAAGAATTGTACCTCTACAGGTATTAAAGAACTTCCTATAACTATCCACCTTCACCCTCCATAGCAAGGCAGACATACAGAACATTTCTTTATCTCCGAGAATGCCTTCCCAACGAAGCCTCTCGAGTCACTCAGTGTTCCTTATTCCTTGGGGTACCTCTACAAACAAATGACACCAAAGCAAAAGTATCTCATATCACCAGGGTAGAAAGCAAGAGTATCTCATATCATGCTTTCTCCCTATCATTTCTTTTGTCCTTATTCTTACCTGCAAAGACAAGGATAAAGAAAGCAATATGCCGGAACCTCCACTCAAACTCGGGTAAGGAATCGACTACCTGGAACCTTTACCGGGTTGCTTACCTGGCATTGCTCTCGAGTACTCGTCTTCAGCTGCTGATGTACTTCCGAAGAAAATGCCACATTTGCCTGGAGAACAGAAAAGGTAAGTGAAAATGATACCTTGCAGCATGTGAAGACAACATGCAGAAGAAACAAGCAGAGAAGAATGCAGCTTGCATAGTCAACTCAGCAGAAGGAGTCTGAGTTGAGGAACTCAAGAAGCTACCACATCGTCCTGGAGAACAAATAAGGAAATGCGGCATGCATAATCAACTCAGCAGAAGGAGTCCGAGTTGAAGAATTAGAGAGAAAAAGGGGTCTGAGTTGAATCCAAGAGCTCGAGAAGCTTCAACAACATATTGACGGCACCATCGCCAAAAAACAAAGCCTCGCTGTGCAACACTGTCAAATCGCCACCACTTCTTCAATTCAAAAATCGAAGAAGTTCTAGCTTTTTCAAAAGCTAGAGCTTTCTCAAAAGCTAGGCTTGCTTAGAAACCACGGGCCAATCTTCATTTACAGACTTGTATGCACTTGTCACATGCAACCTTTG